ATTGTCGCCTCGAGTATTGTTGTCTTCGCACAAACATTGTGGTGGGCGTTTGTATCTCCTCCAATGATGAGTTGCGGTCCATGTCTCCGATAGTTCTCCACCAGATTTGCCAGAGCTATTATAAGCTCCGGCATCGGTGTGTCTATCGGGAAGTAGCTGGAAGCGATGACAATATCCATGGGTACATCTTTCATGTCGCAATTTGTCATAACCACTGCCAAATTGGGGGTAGACAGCTGCGGTAGAGAGGTGGCCTTTATTGTCCTGGGTACATAAACGCATGCCCTAGGTTTCGTTGTGGTCGTATCTAAAAATATAGTGCCGTACATATTGCTTAATCCCGAGATCCTGGATTTTACAATCCAGGGCTCTTGAATTAATGCTATGTTGTAGCAATCCTGAAGGCGTCGACTGAGTAGTGCAGTCGTCGCCCTACTATGCCGTAAGTTGATTTGACAGAGGGTTATTCCCGATTGAGACGCGAAAACCCTTGCCAGAAACTATCTATTGTTGAAGGTCTCCCGAGGACCTAGCCTTCTCCCCGGAGCCGCCTTCTTCCGTTACCGGAGCTTCAGCAACGTCCATGGGAGAAGGTGTTTCCTCCTGGGGCCTCTTACTACTCTTTTTAGTAAGAGTTACGGTACGCCGAACACATAAATGCAACCCTGTGGGTCAGCCTTGGTTTCGGTGTGAAAGACCGGCCATTTTGTGATGTCGATGCCGACATTTTGGACCGCCAGTCGTGCCACGACAAGTCCTTTTTCTTCCGGCTATCCCGGGATGGGGAGGTCCTCTGCCGGCACGACTTCCAATTGAGCTCCCTCCCATAAGACGGGGATCTGCTTTACGGTCCCTTTGAGCCATTCAAGGGACTCCACATCTCCGCATATGATCCTAAGGATCTCCCCGGAGTGAGAAATACCCTCGAAAGCGAGGCCTCTTTGTAGATTCTCCTGGACCGCCTTGTCCAAGAGACCCTCAATGTTTGAGTGGACAGCACCAGCAGGTTCTTAGTCGCCTGGGAGTAGCTGCCGTGCGCAGGGGCTGCTTTTGGGAAAGCCGCTCCCTTGACCCCCTTCGTTGCCTCTCCAGGCAAGCTAAAATGGAGAAATGTGAAACGTTTTCCCTTGCAGGACAATCTGCGTCGTAAAAACCAACCATTTCGTAGATGTCCAGTGGCTTAGAATTTGAGTGATGTAAATTAAAACCTATTTTAGTTATAGCAAAATAGAACCAATAAAGGGTCTAACTAATAAACTTAGAAAGTGTCTGTAGCATTTTTGTGGTCTTTTTTTTATTTAATATGCTCCTCCTAGTCTCGTCTTGATCTTGCTCTCGATCTTGGTAATACCAATCAAAGAAGTGGTTTGATGCAACTCAACCCCTTGCAAGAATCCATAACCTGATGATTCCATCTCTATCGATGACTTATTTTCTTTTACCCCCGGTAAATTTTCTGGAGTTAGTTTGACATTTGAGTACTGTTTGTTATAGCAACCAATAGCAAACAAACTGTTGGGTGATAGTTAGTCTCTCTTATTAAAGTATTATAGATCTGAAAACTGGCAAATTGTTAGGCAAACATTTGACAGTGTAGCTATGCTACCTTCAAGAGGATATGGAAACTTCCTTGTAAAAAACCCACTGTTTTGGTGAAACAAACATTCAAAATGAATGTCTATCGCAACAAATTACGATTTTATCAAAACAACTCTCGATTGGCTCAAAAAACTTAATCAGACAAATACCTATCAGAGTGTATGACAAACAAAATAAGCTTCTATTATCCGAGTGACTTGGGTCTTCAGAAATTAGGCAAATAATTATTATAGATTCGAAGTTTGATTTTTTCTTTTTTCAAAAAACTACTTGACGTTGTGCTGGAATTTGAAAACTACGGAAGTTGAGAGGGTAATTTTTTGGAAAAACACAAGTGATTAACCGAAGCGCCAAACACAATGCTATTTATTCATACGATGGGTTTGTATTATTCTAGTCACAACCAGATTACCCTGACTATCCATTAATTAGTGAAGTATCCAATGATTCAGAGTCAGGTTCTCTCCATTGTCTTATAGAGTTAAACCACACGTATTGTATAATCTGGCTGTGACCAGAACAATACAAACAGTTATTAGCAGTGTGTTTGGACAAAGTTATAAACTCTTTACTACCTCTTCAAAGTTATTCAAATTAGCTTATACGTCATAACAAGTGGAAGAAGATATCTGAGTAAAGTAACTTGCTTTTCATACTAAACTTTGAATAATCTTATTACCATTTTATTTGTACCTACTTGAAGAGTGTAATTATTTCTAACAACCTGGGTGTCCGTTGTCAAAACTATGGTTTGGATTCGACGCCAAAAAGTGAACCCTGTCCGGTTAAGCCACAACAGAGAAAATTTATAAAATTCACCGCGCGTATTTTTTAATAACTTTTTTATAAGGTGCGATATGGTGAAAGTAAGATCTTCAGGATCTTCGTGGCAGAATTTGTTATTCTAGGTTTGTTGCTACATCAGTCGGGTCAAATGCGTGTGCGGAAAACTTTATTGTCGACACTGAACAGGCCAGGAATTATTTTAACTGTACAGCTATTGAGAGAATTGATTTTTGAAAAATAATATACCAAATAGCTTTTTTTATTGTATGCAATAAAACCCCTTTGAAACCTTATGCAATAAATACAAAGCCCGATTGCGCAACAAAGTAATAAAACGACGGTCTTTAAAAAGCTTAAAAAGGCTTTCTTTTTATTGCTGTCATATTCCGTTAACAGTTTTCTGTAAGGCTAGGGCGTATAAAATTACTTTCTTATGGCACGTTTTTTCAAAAGGGCATATTTGCTTAAAAAAAAAGAGTTGGTGTTGGCGCTTTCTTTGAAGTTTTAGGTCTGTGTCGGAGAAGATTCATATTTATACCTACTACATAGGAATCTTCGTGAATTTTGCGCATTTATTCTAACTCAGCTCAATTAACAAATTTCATCAGGAAATGGTAAACATAATTATTGTTACTACAAGGAAAGTTCAAAAGCTGCTTTGTTGTTTCTTATAATGAAATAAATGAGAACAAAATGCCCAAAATAGGCATTTAGTTTCCAAAAATCCAAGCCGATAAAAATTTAAAATATGATCCGAATTCGGCCCTGTCAAGCGACGCAATACACAAGTTGGCCAGCAGGAGACAATGTCAGGGCTACGTGCTGGAGGTGTGTGTGTAAAGTAAATGCAAGCAAAGGCGTGATAGTGGTTCAAGTGTAAAAAACGACCAGGAAATATTTTGAATGAGCTTGACGACCATCGGCCAACGATGGTACAAAAAGAAAAGCAAAAACGGACGGATTCGGTCCCCCTTGGTGTATAAAATGAGGTCAATCATAAAACGGTATATTACATAAATAGACACGCAAGAATCTGACAAATGGTCATTTTGCGGAAAGGCTACGTCTTGCAAGTGACTTTGGTATAATTAGGTCGACAATCCGTTATTTATGTGTGGGTAAATTGCAAAAGGATGACTCAGATTATTAAATTGAACATCTGACAATTTTGGAGCATTAAAAATACGGGCGAGCAGTTTGTGAGTGAAGCTTTTCTACACGTGACTGTAAGGGCTCGTTGCGGACTACCAAAAGCTATGGTTCACTTCGGGTAGCATATGAGTTACAAATCTTTATTTCCCATAATTGATATCAACACTGTCATCGACCAATATAATTGCTGGCTTCAGGGAAATTTTACCCATTATCAACATTTGGATAGTTTACCTACCGTTTTGCATTCATCATTGAAGTGCCTGATGAAAAGTGTTAGGTAACTTCCCTACAGGGGTTCTTCTCTGTATTTTCCAAGCGACTGGATGTAATGGAACTACGTCTTGTTTGGAACTATGAATCCGTATATCTTGTAAGCCGACTCTACAATTCGATGAATGTATTAAGGGTGGTGCCACCAAGAGAAAAATTGAGTATAAGTGGTTTTTGTTTTAAACCAGAAGTCATAACATTGCATTTAATGGTGTTTAGAGGAAAGTTATGCTTTCGACACCATTCTTCAACATTGTGCAGTGTAGATTTTCTGAGAGAAATTCACAGTCATTTATGTCCTTTACAGTGCTATAAAGCTTGAAGTCATCATCATATAATAAAAAGCTCACATCGAAAACATTTGATTAGTCATTGATGCAAACATTGAATAACAAAGGTCCTAAGTTACAAGGCTCTAACTTGGAACCTTTGTCTCAAGTTAGAGCCTTGTGAACCAACAGCCGTTACAACAAATTCTGCAGACTTGAACCCATTGAATTGAGCATACTGAGTTCGACCCTCCTATTGCTTCTATGTTTTACAGCATATTTAGTGCAGGATTGATCAAGGATATCATATATTTAAATCAGGGAGAACATTACTTATTAAGATTGACCTGTTCAGAGACGAAATCCTCATGCACTGCAGCAACCAAACTACCTCCCAAAGTAAGATTTCTCAAATCAAACCTTCTTGGGTAGCTCTTCAAGAAATTTGCCTTAAAACGACATTAGTTTATGGCAAGTAGAGAAGGTTACATGCTTTGGAAGCAACCCATAGTACATAAACTCTGTTTTCCTCGCTTTGCATCAGGCTCTTGCTTTTAAAGAGGTCCGTATACGGAGTACCTACTAAAAAAAGAACTGCATTCCATAAATTTAAGTTTATCTCTCTAGGAGATGACATTATACCTATTAAAAAATGTCAATTGTAAATTTTGTATTGGCACTAAAACAGTTATTCTTCTTCTGTCCGAGTCGTAACCTGGATTTGAAATACGCAATACAATAAGTCATCATCCGAGCCCTGCTGTTTGTTTCCATTGCATAATATTGACATTCCGCAATGAAAGTGTATATTTATGCTAGGACACTACTTTCCTAGCAACAGTGCGCTCGGTGCATATAAAGTTTGACCGTTTATTGGCAGTGTGGCAGTATGTAATACTAATTTTAAGACTTAAAGGATGCACGTACATACAGACATCAGGTTTTATTGTTAGACATTCAATTATTGACATATTGGCTAGTTGGTATTAGCATATAAACGATTTTTTGGAAGAATTACTTTATAATTGGAATAATTATTGATATAAAATAAACGGATATGATTTATAAAAGGTATGATTGGGCCAAAGCCAATAGAGGAGCTCCAGTGGCAGGACTTGGTAGATGTCCAGCGGAAGCAGCGATATCTAGGTGACTATATTTTAAAGGATTACTACTGCCAGAGCCATGTTTGTCCAAGCCAGAAGCCAAAAGTAAAAATGCGGCTGGCCCTAGAAAAAGTTGAAATATTTGAAACTATTCGACAAATTGAAAAAAAAAAACTCACCCTGATGCCCTCTCATAGACTGAGAAGATGGCTTCGATTGCCCTTGGACTATATCTTCACCTTCAGCCACACCTTGATGGGCAGTAATATCTTCTTTTCTGAGAGTGGAAATTTCAAACGGATCTCCAATATCATCTGAGGCTTTTTGAAGCCTTTTACTATGCATTTGTTTATGAGCTGGACCATTGTCTATTACTGAAAAAAACACCATGGTGAGCCACCCTATAAGGTTATTTTTCAAATTAAAAAAAAAAAAAAGTTTAAAAAATTGAACATAAAAACTGTTTTTATTGGAAATATCTCCCTAGAGTCAGATTACCTCTTAAAGATTCTTGTGTATCCAACTGGTACTAAATGTAATACTAATTTCCCCGGCATCGTTTAATTTCTGTACCTACTTCATCTAAATCCCATTATTTACGATCTTGCTTTAACCCAATCTACTCTCGCACCATTTATCAAGAAACCGCGTTTATTATGTCACTTAATAATCTTTGAGAAATGTTGCCAATAAAATAAATAAATTTACTTTGTATTCCCTATTTACATTTTAAATACATAATATGCAAATTAACAGTAGCTAGGATTTTATAGTCGGAAGAGTTAGTTCTTCATTCTAATTTTAATAGTTTTTTGTATTAAAAAAACTAGGATTGAACGCCTGCAGCTGTACGTTCTACAGCAAACTGTTGTTAGTTGGAGTAGCGAAAAAAATATTGCTGAGAAGTTCATTTATTGGGAACTGATTAAACCTTTCAACAACAAATCCTCTACAAGTCTACAGGAAACGAAACTTGCTGCAAATATACAAAAACATCACCAGTTCCCAACACGAACTCTATCATTACGATACACAAAGTATGTTCGATCAGTTCCTGCATCGTTAATAAATGCTTTTAGGTCAAACCGATATAACTGTGAATTTTGGGTGTGCAACGCCATTAAGATTATACCAGGAAATAAAAAAGTATGCGCTTTATATGGGCATTATTTGAAAGAAAGAGCACGCCTTTCATATTAACGGGTCAACTAACGGTAGATCTCTTTCTCTATAGCCAATTTCTCGGCCATCGCGGCCAAAAATTACAATCACGAATCTCTCTCTTTGTATAATGACCATACAAAAAAGGTCCTGTGAGATTGCAGTGGCGGAGAAAACAAGATTTGTGAACCAGTAACCGATGAAAGTTAGTTTTTTTTTTGCAAATTTTCTCATTTATTGAGTTGACAGGTTGTTTTGGTTACAACTGAAATGAACAAATTTCAGTTTAAGTCAGTATTTTTTTTTTTCTTAACCATGACAAAACTTACAACCGTCGGGTCAATATACAGGGTGTCCGGTAAGTATATGGCATACTCTCGGGAGCGTATAGGAGGGGGCAAAATAACCCTACTTTGTTATAAAAAAAATCCTAAAGTGCCCCTTAACGGATATAGAGCTCCAAAAGAGAAATTGGCGATTCATATTTTTGGCTCTAACTTTTGAACCGACTTGTATAATTTAATGAAGTATTAATATTTTATGTTGGACATAAAGACTCATTAAACCATACTTCAGTAGATGTTTCACATAGTCTGGGAAGTCAGGAGCGGACTTGCCACCATATTCATTGTGCCAAATTTTAGACAGGAGTCATTTTACAGAGCTGAAAACTGATTTTTGAAATACTTTGGCCATTTCTTTTGAAAAAAGGTGCTCTACATTTGTTTCGATTAAATCACCCGTTTCCGAAAAAAATTGGTTTTTGTATAACACGTTTAATCATTTACCTTCGAAATTTATTTAATAGTCAAGTTGATCCTAGATTAAGAAAAACAGGTAGAAGTTGACATACAAAAAGTACCTGAAACCGAACCTTTTTGCCATAAAAAGGTACTTTTTATAATTCAACTTCTACTTGTTTTGCTTAATCTAGGATCAACTTGATTATTAAATAAATTTCGAAGGTAAATGATTAAACGTGTCATAAAAAACCTATTTTTTTCGGAAACGGCTGATTTAATCAAAACAAATCTAGACTACCTTTTTTGAGGAGAAATGACCAAAGTATTTAAAAAATCAGTATTCAGCTATGTAAAATGAGTCCTGTCAAAAATTTGGTACAATGAATATGGTGGCTTCCCACACAAGTCGCTTCAAAAGTTAGAGCCAAAAATGTGAATCGCCAAGTACTCGTTTGGGGCTCTGTATCTCCGTTAAGGGGCACTTTAGAATTTTTTATAAAACAAAGTAGTGTTATTTTGACTCCTCCTATACGCTCCCGAGAGTATGCGATATACTTACCGGACACCCTGTATATAGCATGTTTTTGCTGGGAGCGGCAGACAAGGCTCAATGTGGAAACTACAGGAATATCTTTACTTTCTATTGCGGAAAAGATAATTGCCAGGATTGTCTAATCCCAACTGCCGACGAGAGTCTCCCAGAGACACAGTATGGCTTTAGACACATCCGAAGTACAGATGACGCATGATTTTCAGTGCAAGACAAATGGAAGAGAAATCCAGGGAACAAAATCGCCCTTTATACATGGCCTTCATAGATTTAGTGAAAGCATTTGATTCGGTCAACAGAGAAGCTTTTTGGGAGATATTGGCAAAGGTTGGGTGTTCGCAAAAGTACATCCAGATACTCCGCCTGCTGCATGATAATATGAATGCAACAGTCCTGAGCAATGATGAACAAGGAGAGTCTTTGCAAATAGCTAGAGGCGCTAAACAGGGCTGTGATATTAGTTGTATTCCTTTCAAGAGTTTAAGACACTCGAGCTACTCTCTCCAGTGTCAGTCGCCCCCGATTTGAAAGCAAGAGATACGTGGTGCAACAAACACTTTTCGAAAGAAATAAGCGCATAACGCCTCGGAGCTGTTCCGGAGCACCTCCTAGGTGTGAAAGGAATGCAACTTTTGCACCCACTTTATTTTCTCTATTCATAGGATCCATACTTCACGTTGTCGAGGTTCAACTGTCGTCAGGAGTGGAAATTGTCGACAGACTTGATGGCGGCTTATTCAACCTAAACAGATTACGTGCCAAGAAGAAAGTATCGACAACATCAATTGAAGTTGACTTCAATATGCGGATCATAACGTCGTAAGGGCCAATACAGAGGAAGATCTCCAGGCAATTATCAATGCATTCAACCAAGCCTACAGGACAATCGGCCTAGAGGTCAACTTCAACAAGACGCAGATTCTGCACCAATTCTCAAGCCCCAATTATAACTATAAATGAACATTCTTCGCAGAACGTAGAATACTAACCATAGCTTGGGAGCCATCTGTCAGCGAATGCAACTATTGACGCTGAAATCCAACATCGCTTGAAGTGTGCTAGCGCAGCGTTCGGGTGACTTCTAGAGAGAGCCTTAGACAATCACGACATCAGCGCTGCCTAAGAAGGATCCTACAGATTGAATGGCAAGACCGACGAACGAATATTAGTGTTCTAGAAGAGGCCAAAATAACTAGCAACTAGCTGGACAGGTTACTTTATCCATATGCCGGAAACACGGTCTTCCGCAACAGATTTTGTACAGTCAACTGAAGGAGGGAAAATAAAATCAAGATGTTCTTTAGGAAAATATGGCAAAGTGCCGCATCAATACCAGCAACTGGAAGACGACGGCAAATTATAGGCCTCATGGAGTCGAGTCCACGACGGACCACAAACTTTTGAGGAACAGCGACGCACACAAGAGATCGAAAAGACGGACCGCAGGAAAGAGTGAGACATCAAAGGAAGGACAATGCTGTCATAGGCTGGGTGTGCAAAGACTGTGGAAGAGTTTACGGCTCCAGAATGGGTTTATATAGCCATCAAAAATATCTCGAAGCACCGAAAACTTCGAGCCTATCTATCTAGAAAGAAAATGTAGGTTGTAGGCATAAAAACTGCGTCTAAAACCCACTTAGAAACATGCCAAAAAATCAGTAGGATATTTTGAATTGACCTAGCAAATGAGAGTAGGTCAAATCCTGGTAAGCTTCAGTGAAAGTTGTAACTTGAATATTGGGAACAACTTCTTCAAGAAAGAAGAGAAGAGGAAATGACTATATTATAGCATCGAAAAAAGACATAACAGGAGTCATAACCGTAATATTTCGATTCCCAGGGTTTACATAGAAATAAATTTGCATAAAAAAGACCAAAGTAGCTAATAAAGAATAATGCGACATAAACCGAGAACTTTTAAAAGAAAGAACAAAGAAGTATCAACAGGAATTACAAAAGAAGCTATAGTACAGCAAAATAAGAGAAAATTATACGATAGACCATCTCAATAAGAAAATACTATAGAGGCTATACAAGCATGACAAAACAGGAAAAATTGAAAAAAGGGAAATATAAGGAGAATCAGTATTGGGGCAAAACAATTCATAGACAGGAATAAGCACTAGCCCAGGACGGTAAAAGAGGAACACCAGAAAGCAGAGAGAATACGCTTGCAAAGAAAAATCGAGGAAAATGTACAAAATAAAAACAACAGAAACAAAGAACATTCGGAAAAAATACTTGGAGATACCGAAAAGTAAAATAAACCCGAGTATAAATATAATAAACCAACTAAAGAAAACAGATGAGAAATATAGGATAGATATACGGAATAGAAGCAAAAATAGATGAAATAGAGCTATAAAATAAGGAAAGACTAGCTTACAGGGAAACTTAAAAGATTGAACATAGCTCATTAGAAATGCGCATGGGCAATCTTGAGCTTTCCAACTCTTTTTTGAATACAAAACACAATTTTGAAAGCGAAAGCAAAATGGCGTTGGGCAGGACACATCGTCAGAATAAATTATTCAAACTGGACCCATAAGACGACAGAATGGATGAGAAATCCTGGACATCCAGTAATCCGATGCTATGATGACATCTTAAGACATTGCCCAGTACCAGATGGGAATGTGTGGAGAAGGGAGGAGACCCCTGCACATCAATGAAATCCAGCCCTAAAAACCAACTCAAAATTTATGGTTTCTTGGACAGGTAAAACAGGATGAGAAGCTGCATGTACATTTATTTCTATAGAAAAGTCTAACTTTTGGCTTCTTATTACTACTCAGATACTTTTTGAATCTAAATTCAAGTACATATTACAAAACGAAAAACCTATTTAAAATAGTTATGACTTTTTCGACTGGGAAAAAACATCATTTTTCAATTCGGAAATAGAGACTTTTGTTATTAATTGGAATGCAAGATTTTAGCCTGTTTTTACGTCTGAAGTACGCAGCGAAAAACTTGCATGTGCCTTCACTATGATCATTTGTTATAGTAAAACAACAACAAAAACAATAAAATTGAACATTTTATATCGATAAAATGACAATTTTGTTCACAATTGATTGAAACCAATGTAATTTTTTAAAATGTTCTTCTATTTGTTGGATCAGTTGCAGTAATTATATTATTATTTTCCATTAGCATAGGGGGAATTCATAAGAATCGAGCACTTTGTGCCAAGTCTTTCAAATTTGGTATAGTCTTGGGTATGGTCTTAAGGTTTTAAGAAACTATCGCAAGCAACTTGTGCGCGGCCTCTGATGGCCTGTTAGCTATAAATCGAATATGGCTGCAATCTGTATTCGTACCTATTTTAGAAGATTCTTTTCTATAAGACACAAAATCTTGAGTAATACCACTTTTTATGGGTTAATTTTCATTCTCCAACTGTCCACATATAATTTGTTCAGTGTTGCCGTTTATTTTCACAGTTTTTGTAGCTCTAGCGGTGATGGACTTTGGACAGTACAAACTCTTCAGTGCCAAATTTCAGGATGTTGAGCTGGTTATCGAATGCAAAACCATGTTGAATAATCAAGCCCATACCCAAAATTAACTCATCCTCTATATCAGCAATCAGCCCTTTGTGACAGATCTTGATATTTCCTAATCTCAGGTCAATTTCTGTTTCTCCATGCTCATTTGCGGTCCCTTTAGTCACTTTGCGTAGAATAACCTGCTGAAAGTGGCTCTGCATTGAACTTTTTGGCAATGTTCGAATTTAGTCGGAATACGGTTGCCCCTATGTCCACTGTTATAGTTATAATGATATTTTTCCCATTGATATTTCCTTCAATAGTCAAACTGTCCGCAGTCTTTCCTAGCATTTTGATGGTTATGATCCAGGGGCTTCACTTGCACTAGCTAACACCCACCTCTCCGTGTTGGCTAATTGTAGTTTTCCTGGTTCTCCTTTGAAGGCTGAGAGTCACCAGAAGGAGAGCGAGATCCTAGCAGTCACGTTTCAAATGTCCCTTTCTACCACAGCGGTAACATTCAATGCCCCTTTTCTAGTTCCCTTGATTGCTTCTGAAACCAACCTCTCACATATGTTCAAGAATTTCCTCCATTGTGTCTTCAATTTATTTCTTTGGTTCTTTTTCCTTTTATATTGACACAGCTCTAATCTTTGATTTAGATATCTTATATACCGCTTCAATTTCTAGGGCTTTCATCAAGGCTTCGCTACTACTTGATGGCTTGTCTATGAGCATCCTTTTCTGTACATCCATATCTCGTAGGTATACATTTATAAAGTTTTCGGGCACTAGTTGTTCTCGCATTTGTGCTGCTGCTTTTGGATAGCCCAAATTTACCAGACGGCGGATGTCGGTTTCATACCGCTTCATTCATTCATACGTTGCAGGTTTTCTGCAGCTTTTTGCTGCCTTGTTCTTAGTTGTACCTCGTAAGGCTTCCTTCGGTGTTGGTGTTGATCTCCATAATGACGCTCTAACGCATCGACAAGCGCACCATAGTTTTGTTGGAAGCTGGGGGAAGAGCCTCTTTTGGCCTCTAATAAATCTAACGCAGGACCACGTAATGCTACAATCAACCCTGTCACCGGAGCTGCAGGTATTAGCCATTCCAACAGTCTCGAATTGACGTCTGTACATGGCCCACGCTATCTGTTCGTCAGTATCATATTATTTTTATGATTATGTACTAAAATGGTATTATGATATTGTATTACTCAATCATTTAATAATATGACTAATAATAGAAGCCCATCTATTGTAAATACCGATATAAAGATGGCGACCGAATTGGTTTCATAGCAAACAGGCCACCAGAGGTCGCGCACAAGTTGCTTGCGATGGTTTCCTAAAACCTTAAGACTAAACCTAAGACTATACCAAATTTCAAAAACTTGACACAATGTGCACGATTCTTATGAATTTCCAATAATTCTAGTAGCTCCGCTACATATGAACAAACGAAGTTTCCTAGCTTCGACCTTCGACGACTTTTGCTGCAGAATCAGTATTAACTTAAGGATTTTGCAATGCAAATTCTTTTAATATTCTCGATGGTACTGACTCTCAGACGATATTAACCAAGACACGATATTCTCATTACTATAAATATTCCAGCTAAAATAATTGCAGGCGTTATCGATCATATAAGAAATAAGCACTCGGTTGCCTGTTTTTTGTGAGATGTAAGCGCAGTATGAAAAAATTTGCCTTTGTAGAAAGATGTCCAGAAATATTATAATAATCCAGAAATTTGTGTGCACATTCTAAAACAATATTGCGATTTTATTAATAATTATTTTTATAACAAATTAATATGGGAAACTGTTTCCCCTATTTAACAAAATTAATTGTTGAAAATCACGCCCTTCGTAATTCCTAATCATAATCATCATTAACGCCTAGTAGTGATTATTCACTTATGCAATATTTACGGTACAGTTTGTATCTTCACCGATTAGGTAATACAAACATTTCACTACCGTTTGTACTAAGCAACTAGTAATTATATGTTACTTGAACAGGAAATAAACAACCAACGCATAAAAGAGTAAAGTAACAACCATTTTGCATGAAAATCTACGCCATTGCTTGGATTAACTTGTCAGTAACTGTATAATACGCACCACAAGAATAATTGACTCATGTATTTAGTCAAAATTAACTAAAGAAAACCGCTAACTGTCCTCATTTTCAGCGGAATAACAGGCCTTAACGACAAGGTAAAGCAACTTACTATTGACATTTTCTACATGAGGCTTCAGTTAACGGATGAAGTTTTTTCCTTTTGCAATTAAATACCTATAATTATTTTTATATTGGAATTTTTTCTTAAAAGCAACGGAATTAGAAATGGGAAAATAGTGCAAAATTCTGGTTTATCCGAAATTAACAGTAGGTATTGCAAGATATAGAAGCAATAAAAAACGCATATAAAATCACAACATTAGAAAATTTAAATCAAAATGAAGAATCTTCGAGCAATTTCCTATTTCCTCCTGTGCATTTTACGAACAAATTCGAGATATTGAAATAAATCACCGCGGGAATGAATTCTTCAACTCACCAAACACAAATTATTGTGCGGTGGTTTTCTCTTCCTAAACTATTACTCTTCCAATAGCATTACCAATAAAATCCTTTCGTGTGGCATTTATTTCTTAAGTAGAACGTTTTGACCGAGTTATTGCAGAATGCACTGCTATGCTAGTTCCGCGTACTGAACTTGACATTTTGTTTATGCTACACGCGTTGCAAAGTGAATTGAGGTAAGCAATTTGCGTTTGATAAACAAATCGAATTTGATTAGTTTAAATGGAATAGTTCCCTCTATCTTATTGATGCTTGTTTGACAATTTTGAAAATTAAGTCATGATTATTAAGTCTACTTGAAAATTTATACTTGCCTACAATTATGTATTTGCTTATTTTTTTTCTTACCAATAGAATATCCCATTCCAACAGTTAAGCAGGCATGTCCAGTAAGAGTAGCTACGGTGAAAAGATGGGGATTCACTGCAGCGAGCGCCTCTTCTTTAAACTGAAAAAAAATATATATATATTTCAACCTATGTCCCACCCTTTTTTTATCAGGTTCCCACTGTAAAAAAATGCTAAGGGGTGAGGGTTACTTATGGGAAAACCCCAGGAATGCGTATTTAGCTACCCACAGGGTAAGATGAAATATTTTACTTGTTGCGCTAACTGGTGTTAGATGATATGGAAAGGTGATGAAATTTAGAATTAAGCAATTAAGTGAAAAATATTAATTGTAGGGGATGGGTTTCCGATTCAATTGTTTATCAAAGGTGTGGAATTATTGGTGGGTTTAGAGACCGATAGTGGTAGTAAAAGAGCTCCATCAACTTGGCCCGGACAACCCGGCATTTTCTAATAAAAAATTGGGATTAGGTAGTGCTCGCCTAGTGCTGCAAGATGCTGCTAAAAAAAAATCATAATAGTTATTAATTAACACGTTATCCCCAATTATATCTTCCGGGCCAAGTTGATAACAGCCCGGACAAGTCAGCATTATTTAATCAAAAATTGAGGTCCTTTAGTGCTTGTCAAGTGCTGCAATTTTTTTTCAAAATGATTGATATTTAACACGTAATCCCTAAATATTTCTTCCGTGCCATGTTAATGATAGTCCGGACAAGTCAGCATTTTTTAATCAAAAATTGAGGTCCTCTAGTGCTCGTCAAGTGCTGCAACATTTTTTTGAAAATTGTAGACATTTAACACGTAATCGTCAACTATTATTTTCTTCCGTGCCATGCTGAGGACAGCCCGGAGTGCTCGTCAAGTGCTGCAAGTTGCTCTTCGTTAGGTACTAAGGTACTCCAATTTTTTTTTGTAAATGATTATTATTCAACAAGGGACATTCTCTAATCTCCAATATCACGGAAAATTGTAGAAACCGACAGTTTAGTAAATTTCTCAATCCTTTTTTTATTAATCAATCAGAACTTGCATATGTTTGTATATTTTCGTTCGTAAACATTTAAATACAAATTCAAAATAAGTCTTTCGCACTGAACAAGCAAGTCTTGATTTTGAGGCTTCAAATCTTCGTTCTCGAATCTGGACATCTTCCCAATAATCCCAATAATTATCAATAGCTTTGTGTTGGTTTCACTCAGAACTAGTTCGAAATCATTCTGCACGTGCGCATATTATAAAACTCGTTTTCGTTTTTTCAAAATCATAATCGAACTGTGTTGACAATGTTTTGGTTTTTCTAGAACTATTTAAGAACAATTCTGGGACTGTTCTAGAATGGTTCTATCAGTTCTTGCTCTGAAGGAGGAACTGTTTTAGAATTTTGTAATTTGCGGCGTGTTTTGGTTTTTTTGGTTCCGAATCGGTTCAGAAATTGTATTAGAACAGTCCTTCATTATTTTTTAGGCGCAAGCAGTTCTGCGCAATTCCAGAACCGTGCCAAATTTCGAACCAAAACAGAGCTATTATCTACCTATATTTCTACATCAAACGGACTCCCGAAAGCCATCTCTAACTCTTCACTTTAAAACTCTCAAAATCAGAAATTATAAGATATAATTATTCCAAGTCAAAATGTTATTATCGACTCGATAAGAACTGAAAAAATCCTAATGCACGCCATGGTTTATTTTGGTTCGGGCAATTAAGGTTCTAGAACCCTAGAACTATCAGGAAAACAAGAAACCGAAAACACCTTATTGTCAATTGCAACTAGAAATATTTTTTTGGGATTCTCAGTCACTTCTAGTTTGGATTAGTTTAATGTACCATTGAATGTGCCTTACTTTAATGATTATTTTGAAGTTTCGTGAACTTGTTATTCCGTTATAAAATAAATTAGGTAAGAATACCGCAGCCAATCTCTTGGAGGTATTCGTCCCAGGATCTATGATCTTCTTGACGAACATCGGTACGTAACATGGTTTTAATTAGACGATTGTGACATTCGGTGGGAAAACAGGTAGGTAACTTGGAGTCCCTTCTTATTTGAATAGATAAAAAGACTATCTCCCCTACTGATTAGGTACCTATATAAAGTTTCTTGGTAATTATATTCACCCCAATCTGAATTGGGCTCATTGGGGAGTGGGTTGTCTGGTCTCCTGAGACGATTGAAGGTGGTCATTTCACCTGAGACGGTTCGTCTATTTTAATTTGGTCAAATTCAATCAATTATTAGTTATGGGATTTTGCTCATTTTTAGACATCACTGAGATGTATTCTGCGCTTACATCCTAAAGCCTCTTGGATCGGCCTTTTGTGACGTTGCTTGTGGTACTTATGCGACTTTTGTTTGAATAAAATTCAGGTCCATCGCGCCAGAACCGGGATCCAAACAATGTGTCCGACCCAGAGAAGTACGATAAAATTGGTTCCACCATAACGGGAAGAGTAGATAAATAGTTGTAGTGCAGGTCGCCGGGCGTTCGGGAACCTCACACCTTCGTACCTACTAATATGTTGCATTTCCATTCGAACGATAGTACCTATAGTTGCTTTCCTGAGCCAATGTTAATTCTCTTCCTCCCCTTACCTCCACATCAGTACCTAAATCCCATTCTACGATCCTCAATTCTTATGTCAAACTTTTGGCTATGAATTTTATATTTTTGGTGGTAAGATACTGTATTTAATCTTTTGTATACATCGACATGTGCTTAATCCTATTAGAATCTATAACTAAATAATCGGTAAGGGATTCCGGACCTTCACTGCTTTATCAATATCTATCTTGAGACAAAAAGGCGACCGATGTGAAAAAGAGTATTTATACATTGGATATCATGAAATTATGATTTGAAGAAACACGCTTGATCAGCATGGATCTTCCACGATAAAGGAGCATTAAGGAATGAAGGGAAAACCTATGTCCAGAAGTGGATGGTTGGTGCTGATTAGATTAGATACAATTTTATATTCTTACTCAAACTTGGCAATTTACCGATTATTCAAATTTTCACTAACCATCTTCCATCACCAAGATTTCTAAGTCTAATGCCAGTTTTTTGAAAGCCGGATTGGATAAATATTGATTATTTTCTATAAAAGATAAATGATTAAAAGATATTTATTTGATCTTTGATATATTAAGTTTTTGGGTTGGGACCATCTAAGTTAGTTTTAGAGAAAAAGCATCAGGTTTGCCGAAGTTTTGTTTCACTTAGAATATTTTCAACAGTAACGTAACTCTTGCATTTCAAAAGTATCATTCAGTCCTAAATTCAGAAGTTCAAAACACAAAAATCAACATCGATTTGAAATAATAACAGAAGAAATCTGGGATGAAACAGATAACATTCTGCACACCCTTTGTACATTACAAAACAGACACAAATGTTATTTCCTTTTTTCCCAGATAGAAACTAGTTTCCTCTAAGTTTTAATGTCTAATTTTGTAATGATTCTCCATATACAGGGTGAGTTTTTTTCGATGTTTAGTATGGGTATCTCGGAAACTATAGCAGATACGAAAAAGTTTAAATTAGCAAAAAATTGCAGTTTTATAAGCTCAACTCAAAACCAATTTTGGTTTTCCAAGATTTGGCAGCTGTCAATAGATATTTTAAAATTTTTGGCGATTTTTTTAAACGGTCTCAGTTCAGCAAATATTAATTTTGGAAGAAAATGTTAAATACAAAAGTATTAGGAAATTTTATTCTCAATAAAATGACATAAACAGTTTTTGTGTCAAACCTGTTATTTTTCACATGTTACATAAACTTATGTTTTTTTAAATGAAAACCATACTTGATTTTATCCTCATTGAATGGAGAATTTTATTACCATTCTAATGATATCGCATATGATATTGCATATGATAGGGTTATTTTTAAAAATAAAGTTTGTGAACATTGTTGTTTTTTTTTTGTTCAGATTCGCCTTTAACTTCGATGTAGTAAGTCTAGTTACCTATGGAAAAAAAATAAGACATTGTTAGGGTAGCCATAGTAAATTTCTTTTTATTATTCTGATATTTTATTTAAATCTCACAAAACATTTTCGAAAATTTCATCGTTATTATTAATGCAGACGTTGCATCTTTTCAAAACTGAATTTGTCGCTTTTCTCAGGGATCGCCCATCAATATTAATGTCATGTCAAAAATGACAGGTTCGATAAAAAAACTGTTTATGTCATTTTATTGAGAATAAAATTTCCTAATACTTTTGTATTTGATATTTTCTTCCAAAATTAATATTTGCTGAATTAGGAGCGTTGTAATAAATCGCCAGTTTTTTTGAAATATCTATTCACAGGTGCCAAATTTTGGAAAACTAAAATTGGTTTTGAGTTGAGCCTACAAAACTGCAATTCTTTGCTAATTTGAACTTTTTCGTATCTGCTATTATAGTTTCCAAGATCCCCATAATAAACATCGAAAAAAACTCACATGTACAACATATTCAAATATTTCACCTTTGCAATTTTTTTTTCTGAAAACTATTAAAGGCGCCACTGAATTAACACAATGAAAATCGCAAAATAAAAATCGAGTAACTTTTTTTAGTAAAAGAGATAGGTAACATGGTGCAATTTGTTATTGCCAGGCCATGCCACTCTTGAAATTTACTCTTTCTCCAAAAAAAGGGCACGATATGTTCAAAATGGGAGATTAGTTGTTGAAGCGAACAATAAGTCGTTGTGGCAACTATTTCGTTTACGTAATTGATTGGGAATAGTCAATGAAACATCAGATTCTCCAAAATTATGTTTATTGCTTCTTGGTACTAAATTCCAAAATAACTTTAATCCAGAATCGGAAATCCTAATTAAATAAGCGAATTAGTTGCAAATACTTCACTGCAGCGATGTATGTTCGTAAATCAATAGATATCAATAAGTATCTACCTCGATTTGTTCTAAATACCAATCGATCTAGAACTTGTTGAAAAACACAACTTAAAAAAAAACTTTGAACTTTCCAGAATCGATAACTTTTAATTCAATTCCAAATTCTTAGCTGAAAATCACATAGGATTTTCTCAGTTCTTATTGAGGCGATAATAGCATTTTGTCTTGGAAAAATTATATCTAATAATTTCTGATTTTGAGAGTTTTAAAGTGAAGAGTTCGACATGGCTTTTGGGAGTCCGTTTGATGTAGGAATGTAGGTAGATGATGAAAATTGAGATTATTGGGAAGATGTCAAGATTCGAGAACGAAGATTTGGAGCCTCAAAATTAAGACTTGCTTGTTCAGTGCGATAGACTTATTTTGAAATGTTTAAAAAATGAAAATATGCAAGCAAAGTTCTGATTGATTATTAATAAAAAGGATTGATGAAATTGTCGTGATATAAGAGCCAGAAATGTGATAGATCACGGCTCAAAACGCCGCGTGTTGAATAATAATAATTTACAAAAAAAAAAACTCAATTTTTGATTAAGAAATGCTGACTTGTTCGAGCTGTCATCGACTTGGCCCAAAAGAAATAATTAGGGATTACCTACGTGTTATATATCAAACATTTTCAAAAAAAAATTGCAGCATCTTGCAGGACTTGACGTGCCCTAGACGACCTCAATTTTTAATAAAAAAATGCTGACTTGTCCGGGCTGTCATCAACTTGGCCCGGAAAATATAATTGGGGATAACGTGTTAACTAATAAATATTATGAATTTTTTTTTGGCATCATCTTGCAGTACTAGGCGAGCATTACCTAATACCAATTTTTAATCAGAAAATGCCGGGTTGTCTGGGCCAAGTTGATGGTTTCGCAAAATTATATTTGCATCATCAGGGCCCTACGAAAAACAACAAAGTGAGATCTAAAACAAAAACTCGCATTAGGAGCGTTTTCTCTTTTCAAATATAAAATTACATGTAAGAAAAAAAAAAAAAACAAACAATAATAATAAAATTAATACATATTCCCAGCATTACATGGCTGTTATAATCAATTATGCAAAATAATATAGGAAAATAATATAGGGGGGGCTAAGGCTGACTAAGTGTCAATATGCGGCAGTATCAAAAAAAAATAATAATAATAATAATTTTAATTTTTTTTTGATACTGGCGCATAATTTTAACATTTAGTCGGCCTTAGACCCCCTATATTCTATATGATCCTCCTATATTATTTTGCATAATTGATTATAACAGCCATGTAATGCTTGGAATCAATATTAATTTTATTTTTTCATTTTTTTCCTTATAATTTTATATTCGAACAGAAAAAAGGCTCCTAGGGACTTTTTGTCCTTTTCTTTTGAGATATCATCACGTTGTTTTTCGTAGGGCGCTGATGATGCGAATATAATTTTGCCTGCTAAAGAAGTGACTTTTACTACCAGTATCGATCCCTTAACCCACCAATAATTCCACATCTTTGAACATCCTAACTCTCTGACAAACATCAAACTCAGGCGCCAAGAGTAATGAATCCCTCAAAATTTGAATATTGAAAATTATTCCTACACATCAAATACTATTCATCAATGGACGATTCTATGACATTGCATTTAGACTGCAATCGATAACTTTCAAATAATGGTAGGTATAGGTAGGTACTATCCACTAATAAAAAATAACTATTAAATTCCTGTTAGTACTACCGTTGCTGCATAATAATAATCTAAGAAAAAAAACTTGTTTTTATTCATTTAAATGTCATTTATCCGCGTATTTTTATGTTTTTCTTCGTAAATGTCACACGTGATTCCGATCATCGCATTATGTAATACAAAACGTGAATTGCAATTCCACCTACTCACTTGTTTATGTTTTCGTTTTATTAGCGACTGGTGAAGACTTGGCTGTACTACCGGCCTAATAAAATTATTGTTGTCTGTTTGGTTGATTTATTTTTTTGTTCTAGTCATTAAGGTCAGTGAGGCAATATTGCAATGCCCGAGAGAAATTGTGTTTAAATTCAATAAATTCAATAAGTATGAACTTTTCATAAACTATGGCTGAAATAAGTTCTTCTATTGCCTGCATTTTCTTGATCGAGGCAGTAGGCATAAAGTTTCAGTAGCCATGGATATTAAATTTTAGAAAAACAATAATATAATTAATATTGTCACATGGCCAGTATTTAAAAAAATTACGGGTGCTTGAAATAATAAGTCTATATGCAATTATTATTATAAAATTTAAAAAAAATTAGGTATAACTTATTGATCATTATAAACAACAATATTTTCAGAAAAATGTCATGCCACGTGACGATTTAAATACTACATATTCATAGTTATAATAGTTGAATAAATATGGGTAAGTCTAAAAGAATAAAGGCTAGAGTCAGTGAACTTTGAAATGTAAAAAGTATGCATTGCAAATCTACAAAGTTTCAGAAAGGATCCCAATTCTTTGATTGAAATGAAGCTCCCTGTTTCCCTTCTGTTCATTTGAGAACATACTCCCTTTCACTATGAAAAAAAAAAAACTCAAAAGGTGTCTTGGTTTCGTCAAAAACCCTTTCCCGGTTGATCATCTGCCAAAAAGGTTTGATAACTCGTGATTTTTTAGACAAAAAGACCCGCCACATGACGCCAAATAGGAAGACTTAAGTGCCGTTAGGTTAGTTTAATTCCGGTATAGCGAAAACCCTCCCCAAAAGGGTGCAAATAGCCGTATTAGGTGGTACCCACCACGTGTCAGACGTGTGCCAAGGATGGATTTTTTAAGGAAGCAGATGTGCAGTTTATAAGGGTTGAAATTTCACCTGTAGTTATTTGAAGATCTTTCAATTGAATCGAGAAGTAAAAAAACATGAACATTAAGTGCCTCTCTATATAATTACACCCCTTGGTATGTAAACAAAAACTTATTTATATATTGACCCTTAAAGGGTTGAGTATAATATGCATAAATAATTACACCTTTCACTTTTCGCTCTATCGGCCATATGTCGTCATTTTTTGCCACTTAACTGATCTAACACCTTTTCGCACGTGTCCAATGTAAGATGAGGACGGTCTTTAAACCCTTCAAACCCTCCAATTTATTTTTTGTGCACTTCAAAGGGTTTGTATGATTCTAGCAAAGTAAGGGTCATATGTGCATCAATAATGTTTTTTTTTCCGATTTATTATTCGAAAGATAAATTCATAATAATATTATTATTAGAAAAAATAGATTATCGATTTCTGATATAGTAGTTTAACATAATACGCACTCAGGGTGTAGATAACTACCCGGCAATCACAGCATGCAGTCGCGCTTGGCTAACAATTTACAATTAATATGAAAATCCGCTTGAAATGCGTAAATTTATTGGCATTGACCCATTTGAACGGCTTCACACCGACAATTAGAAGGAACGGTGATCCGATAAATCTAGATCAAAGATTGGCTGAAAAATATTCTCGGCGATATAATTAGGTAATAGGTAGCTACTTTTATGCATCTCATTAACAATGCCGCTAATGTAGATAGGTTATTTCTTCCCAGAAGAAAAAAGCAAAGCAAATATAGGTATGTAAAATGGAATAAATTAATACATTTGATTTAAGGTGGGGTCGCGGGTCCAGTGCCGGATTTACCAATTTTCCGCCCTACGCCAGTTTAAGAGGCCGCCCTCATGTTAACAAGGGCGGCGCGTGCCTTCAAAAACTGGGGGACCAAGAAGATACAGGACACGAACAGTGGCGTATGCGTAGATAGCTTTTTGGGGGCAAACTTATTAAGGACGCCAGGATTAAATGAACCCCGCGAGGCGTAAAATCACTTCAGGTGTCACGCCCAAAAACATTTATTTTGAGCCTTCAAAAAAAATATCTGTATTACCGACATTTTATTACAGTTGGTACACATTATCATGATCTGTGTGTGGTTTTAGTTCGATTCATTTTTTCATAGGCACTTTTTATTTTTAAAACTGGCGTTTATAGTCTGGCAAGTGGTAAGTTGATAGGGACGAAAGGGGGAAGAAAAATGGGGCGTAACCCAAGAATATTCACTGACAGCTCAACTGACACCGCTTGATGACAGCCATGTGTTTGGGTTCAGTGGCACCGAAAACACCAAGAAAATGAACCAATAAAATTATTAGAATTTTTTTTAAGTTTCGCGAACAACCACGCCACTGTGCTGTCGTTCAGGCTCTAACCTTAGGCTCTAACCAATAGAATCATGCCTCTGAATCATCACGCCTATCCACATCCATCATTTAGCAATGTTGCCGGATTTTTTTCTATTTAAAAATACCACACATGCCCATATAGCAAAAAAAATATTTCACCAATTTGTTTATTACTGTTTCCATCAAGTTTGGCAAAGCAGCAAATTCTATTGCAGTTCGCCGTTTGGCTAGCCAGACAATACAGGCTTTATGATTTTTTTGCTAGCTAGGTATCTGTTCTTTGTTATAATATTGTTCGAAACAGAACCGCCCGCATTTTGCGTTGGATCTTCGGGTTTCTTTTCCTGATTATTTTTTGAAATTTTGCCGCCTCCCCAGATTTGCCGCCTTACGCCTGTGCGTATTTGGCGTATAGGGAAATACGGCACTGCGCGGGTCGCGTATTGAAAGATAATAAATTACTTACTCTGCATAGAATATCAGCCATGATCATACGCCCTTCGGCGTCAGTGTTGATGACCCTTATTCTAGCGCCTGATCGGGCTGTAATAATTTCATCAGAAACATAGCTGTTAGAGCCAATACTATTTCTGAAAGAAAAAAATAACAAAGTTGGAACAGCGATTCTCGACAAAGTGACGAATGGAAAATTTATTACCGATATTACTATAGATATAACAATATTACTAAATGAAATGGGTAAATCTGAAAACAAATAATATAATATTTACCTCACTATTCCCACTCCAGCTACTACCCTGACATTCTTTGGCTTTAGCAAACTGACTACTTGCATGAATCCCAGCACTGCAGCAGCACCACATTTGTCTCTGGACATTCCCAACATGTATCCACCAGTTTTGACATCAGCACCACCAGTGTCGTATGTGACACCTGAAAAAAAAAAACATTGTTGTCGAGCTAGATATAGTAGCTAAATATGATTTCAAATTTTCAATTTATAATTTGTTAAGTATCACAAATTGGAATTTTTTCCCAAGTCAAACATATCTTGTTCTTTGCTATGTAGGACAGTGCAGTTATGAAATTCACAATGTTGAAAATGCAAATTTTTTTATAAAGCTGCGACTATCAAAAATAAGTAGCCCTAGTACCCCTTATTAACATACTAAAAGTCCCCATGCCTCCGATTGTTGCGTCACCAAAAAAAGTCGTCCGCCATCTTGAATTTCAGCACTGTTTGGGAAAAACCGCGAATAACTCGAAAACGTTACATTTTTTTGAAAAAAATGAAGTTATCAAAATTGAAGAGAATTAAAAAATCTATCAGATACAATGAGAAGTAATGTTGCATCATAGCGATCTATCAACTTATGAATTTTCAATTCTGTTAATTATTCGGTTTTGATAATTTAATTATTTAAGGCGCGAAAATCGCAGAACAAAACAAAATGTTTGATGATTGATGTTTGGATCAGTTGAGATATTATAAATACGAAACCCTTACATCTCGGCAAGTTCTTAGCAAGAATTTTGAGTTAGCTACTTTGCCTCCAACTTCAGACGGAGCTGATGAGAATCATTACTATAGGACTTACTTACAAATTCAATATTGGCTAAATAATAAAAAAGAACCAACACATTGGGGTTGGGATAAAAAAAAGACATGTTGGTTCCAAAAACTATGTCAAAGGCAGTGGCACCTGATTTTGTTCTGAATATGATATATTGCAACTGCAAGTCAGGATGAAACAATTTATGCACATGTATAAAGTCGAATATTCCGTGTTCAATCCTATGTGGTAATTGTAATGGCATTTCTTGTGACAACAAACAAATTTCTGTAGATGAAGAGCAATTCGAATAAGATGGAATAAATCGTATCCCAGTTTTAGATTGTAGTCACTGTTGAATGGTAACAGAAAGGCCTTGGTACACTCTCATGATATTATTTGGTATTAGAAAGTTATTTGTCACTTACAATTAATTACACTATGGTTTATTTTTTTCCAAGATAGATTTTGGCATTGTCAACTTTGAAACATAAGCAATGCCGCTAATGCCGCTTATTGGTCACTATTGTAAAACTGATGTTAACTTACAGAAACAACTCATTTTGCGCCACCAATCAGGGTCAAGCGTTATTGTTTATGTTTCAAAGTTTTCAATGTCAAAATCTATCTTGGGAAAAAATAAAGTGTAGAGCCTTTTTTTGTCAAAGTAAACTTGATATTTCAATGAGAATTTTGTTGCCTGGCAATTTGAGTTAAATTGCCTGAATACAACAAAACTCGAATTATAAAGTAAAGAGAGACAAAAAGAAAAAAAAAGCTGGAGTATAATTCGGTAAGACAATTTAATGGATACCTACGTAAATAACAAATTTTGCTGGTCATGTCAAGCTAGGTTCAGTTTTGTCGCTGGAAAAGTTAGGGCAAATTTTTTTTATGTATAATATCACAAGAGAAAAAAATTTGTCGGCAAAATTTTCGAAAGGTATGAAAGCTTAATGATTGGCAATTTCGCGAATGACATTTTTGACAAAATCACGAGCCGTCAGGCGGTAAAAGTATTAGTTAATCCTGAAACTTCGAGTGGTATTCAAAAGGTTATACAACGAACTAAACTTTGATACTTTATTAATGTTCATTATTATTAATAGTAAATGAACAATATTGCCACCAAGCGCGATAATCCCAAAAGGCTTGTCACTTCTTAAGCCTCTCGTGTCATATGGCAATAATGTACAATGAGTTGGATAACGGGTGTAATACACTCTAGTGAAATAGTCGCTGTAATAATGACAAAAACAACAGTCATATGGGATTTTTTGTGTATGAATTAAATTGTCAATTTAAATTTGCTTATTACCTATCCTGTCTTTTGGCCAAAACATTGTAAAATTGACCTTGTCAATTTTTTTGCGTTGAATAGTTTTATTGTATTGAATCTGCGATTACTCATTATTAGTTCATACGAGGGTAGTTGAATTAAATTAATATATAGGTAACACTTTTACAGTGTTTTTTTATTTAAATAAATGTTAAAAGGTAATTTTATTTGTTTATTGGGATTGAGAAAATGCATTAACTGCATTATGGTCTGGTTCCCTTGATTTTGCTAAATTTCCAAAAATTCAAAAAATTCTAGATTGTTACTACGTTATGGTACGCATTCAGTTTTTATGACACCTCCTTCATTTTTTCATTCTATTCAATTTTCCTCTCTTGAGTTTTTTCGATAGAATGTACCGTTTTTGACTTATTCGCGATTTTTTCCGAAAAGTGCCGAAATTCAAGATGGCGGATTGTTTTTTCTAATGACGTAACAACCGGACGAATGGGGACTTTTGGTATGTTTACTAGGAGTACTAACGCTAACTATTTTTGAAAGTTGCAGCTTTATAAAAAAAAATTTGCAAATTCAAAATTATTTGCACTGGCCTAATGGTTGGAAACCAGAGAAAACACTGATATTAGAGAAGCGAATACCGCCAGCATGGAGGTTATCATTCAGAAATCCTGAATAATGACAAAAGCCTCAAGGAGGAAGTAGATCCAGGGCTTGGTCGAACTTTCCATTCGAAACTGTTGGTGAAAAATCAACAACATATCGTCGTATGCCATGTTTAGGAATTAACGGCTTTTTTGGAGAGAAAAAATATTGGGACCACGACCACGTCAAAGAAGTCAGAAGTTGATGAGAAACAAGATGAAGACGTTTCTTGTTACGTAAATTGGAGGAATATAATAACCTTAAAACAGTAATTTTTGGGAGCAGGGTCCTTTTCCTACAAGACGGCGGGAAATAAGTAGCTCTTCGCTGCTATAGACTAGGTATCTAACAAAGTGGCCAAAAGTTCCAAATCAAAAAACGGTTGAAGTTATACTGAAACACTGCTGGAAAACATCCTAGGCACACATAGGTTTCCCATGGAACATTACACCGATCGGGAAAGAATGATGATTCCAAAGTAGGGAACCAACTGGATGAGGTTACTGGAAATAAGAACCACGACGAATGCAGATCATCCATAGTTTGATTCACTCATTCACGAGAAATAAACTATGACTGAACAGTGACAGAATAAATATGAGACTCGACAAACGTTGAACACCCACAATAAAGGTGACATCGTCTGGTTGTAGCAGACACAGGAATCAACAAAGACCATGGAAAGGAAGATGAAAGATCGTCAAGAATATGAACGAGTTGGTGTACAGGTTTCAACTTTCCTTGGAAGCCAATCCAAAGGTTCCCCCTAAGCGGAGGTAAGAAATGCACTAATTTGGATGCAGAGTCACGCACATTATCAGCAGATGGATTGATGAATTGGCTTCGTGGCAAACAAGTTCAGGCTACTCCTAATAATGATACAATTGAGATGTCGCAGTATTAAAACGCTGCCCACAGGGTAGGGTCCTATCCCCCTTATTGTGAAACCTAGTCGTAGACGAACTCCTAGTAGAACTTAATAACAGAAACATTTATACCCAAGGTTACTCAGATGATGTAGTAACCGTAGTCATGAGGCAAAATTTACAAACTTCCTCTGCGCAAAGGCAAGGGGCACTTAAAATAGTGAATTTCTGGGTCAAAAGGCAAACCTGAGTGTCAACCCTGAGAAAACGACAATGGTCCCCTAGAAGAAAACTAGAAGCTCTAGTTCTTCCCACTTTCTTCGGAAAGCAAATACAATTCGTCCGGGAAGTAAAATACCTAGGAATTATCCTGGATGCAAAACTAACTTGGAACGCGCACATTGAATACGCCACCAACAAAGGTAAAATGGCACCAAAAGAGCAGTGGGAAAAACATGGGGATTTCTACCCCACATAGTATATTGGATCTGTAGTGTGTGAGACCCAAAATAATCTACGGATCAATAGTTTGGTAGCCAAAACGCGAACAGAGCAAAGCAATAATGGAGCTATGCAAACTTCAAAGATTGGCTTATCTCTGCATAATGGGTACAATTAGAAGCACTTCAACTGCTGCTATGAAAACCATACTAAACCTCCCGCCACTTGATATCATTATGAAAGCTGAAGAAAGAATGGGGGTTTGCAGACTCATTTGTAGCCAAAACTGAAATCCGAGACGAGCATCCGGACATACCAGGATAACAAACATTACTACAAACTCACTCTTTGAGATGAGAAGTGACAACATGACCTCGAGAATAAACACTCACAAACCTTTTCAAACTCCGATTAACTGGGAAAACAAAACAGAAAACTCATAGGTCCAAAATGGAAAGTTAGTATGGTACACTGATGGTTCCAAAACGAACAGTAGAACCGGTGCCGGAGTATGTGGCCTATCCCCAAGAGCAAATAGCTTTCTCCACCGGGGAAGCATACCACCGTATTCCAAGCTGAAATACATGCAATAGAGATATGCCTGCGGGAAAATTTGAGAAGGGGATATGTACACAAGGATATCAGGATCTTTTCAGACAGTCAAGCAGCTATTTAAGCTCTAGCATACCAACAGATAAAGTAAAAATTAGACTGCAAAAATGTGTCCTTTTAACCCTAGACAGCCCATAATAAGGTTACTCTTGCATGGGTGCCGGGGCACACGGGTGTTGCCGGCAATGAAAACAGGGACTCCTTAGCTAGGCAAGGATGGCAAGGCAGTTTATGGGCCCTGCACCCGTACTCGAAATATCAAAAACGTCGATACGTGGCTGCTTAGAAAAGTAGATCCGAGAGGAACACAAAAACAACTTGTATCAAACACCGAGGCAACACCACACTAAGGCAATAGTGAAATATCCTACGGCAAGGTTAGCCTCCGAGATCCTAATTGTGACAGAACTGTTAACCGGTCACTGTACACTGAGAAAACACTTACACAAGATGGGTATCTACCAAGATGAACCCATCTGCAGACTGTGCGACGAGGACGAAGAATCAGCCTCTCACAGTTTATTCGGATTATTACTGGAGAACTCGACACCTTCTGGAGGAGGAGCCTGTCCAGGAAGAGGGTCTTTGGAGACGCCAATAAAGAGGCTACTGCACCTGGCAAAGGTGGCAAACCTATTTTAGAAGAAATTCACACAGCAAGGGATACAATAAGCTAACTAGCTGCAGTGTCAGGGAATCACTTGGTGTATATCAAATCAATCGATCAATCAACTTGGATGCAACCACGAGGAGCTGTTTTAGACGAGGAGCTTGTCTAAGAAAGGGGACAGTGTTATAAAATAACAGGAGTAGGTAACCTTTAAACTCGCATGTAGTACTTAGTGATCGACCCTTTGACTGAAATTTGACCTTGATAGAATAATCTAGATCAGCGAATTACCGATCAACTTTTAGTAGAAAATTTTCGAGACAATTACAAAAGGCTTGAAGGGGGTGTGACCGAAAAATAGAAGTTTTGAAAAAACAAAATCAGGACAAATTTTCAAACCGCACTAGGCTACGACCAACCGTCGCGAAGATACCGTGGTATAAAGTTCCCACTCCTAGCACTGTAACGTCATATGCACAAACTGAGTCCGCCTTCCGGCGCTGCGCGCGCGTTTGCTCATGCTTGCTGCATATATTATCGACATTATCATATTGTTTTTGTGTTCTCACCCCTCCGTCAGGGCTTTGTCAAGGTTTTGTAATTTTTGCGTGTATTCATGACGTCATGCGATGAATAGATAAAATTTTATTTAGGCGTATCTACCTTATTATTTTGAGTAGCGATGCGAGATTTTCACAAGAGTTCTTGGAATTTTCTAAATACTCTTTAAAGCAGTAGGTATATGAGTAGCCCGCAACGTCGATGCGGAGAAAGTTTTTGAATTGAACAATAAAGATGTTAAGCCTAATTTTAATATTTCAAAGTGTATAGTAGTGCTAGTTTTGTTGTTATTTCAAAAAAACAAAGTTTGGAGAAGTAAGTAGGTAGTCTCGTTCATGTACAAACCCGCTTACTCATAATGGAGCATAACACGACTGATTCAATGGTCTATTGTTAAAATAATAATTAATATAAGGCGCAGATTTCAGCCGAAAAACAAAGTGCTATATTGGCATAACACCGTTTTGAAAATTAAAGCATTTTCTACAACAAAAATATTGGCAAATACTCAATTAGGCTTGTTTTAAATAATTCAGTAATTTTCAAATGTAAATTGCTAAAGTGATGGTGAAGCAATCTAATAAGAATCTACCTTTTCCCACAAAGAACAATGTCTCCTTCACCGATTCGGAAGGTTCGTACTCCAAAAACATAATCCTTCCCTTATGCCTTTCTTGACAACTGGCAGCTCTATTAACAGCCTCAAATAGTGGATATTCTTTCGAGATTTGTTGAATATCGGAAATAACGTTCAATTTAATTGGTGTGTTTGCGAACAAGCTCCTAACGTATTCTTCTACTCTTGGAGGTGCCATTCTGTAATAATCCATAAATTAATATTTGTGTCAAGTGCAAGTGAAAAAATGTATCATGTACCTTTCGGGATCAGCATCACCAATATCACAAGCTACTCTCCTACCAGTTTCTAATATCAGTGCTAATTGTGCAAGCTTGTTGGATTCTTCCACATATTTGGTCCATACTCCAAGGTATTCAACTTTATGTTCTTTCGTTGGGTCATGTTCTCGAACCTGGATTGGCTAAATTAACCAAAAAATAGAAATAATTATTTTCAAATTTTGGCAATCAAGGTGAGTCTTAATAATAGTGTGTCATTAGGTTCGTTTTACTTTTTGCAATTACATTATATTTAGTTGGAAAAGAAACTTTTGTTTATTTGTAATGGAAATAAAAATCTATGCTTTTTGTGATGAGACGTTTTTTTTTTCCTTGAGAAAAATATATACTGAGATATTTTAGCTTTTTTTTTGAGTAGTTTTTTTTGAAACTTGAATATGAAAATAAAGATTGCAATATTGAGCCGGACGTGATTTTATATATTCTTCTTTAGCATTTATTGAGAGACAAAGGGTAACATTTCCATTCTCCCTAGAGTTAGCAAAAGGGAAATCTTTCCACATCACTCCTAAGGACCACCGCTATAACTTTTTTTTTTCAAATCTTAAGATAATCTGAAAATTCTGATAAAACTTCTTATCCCATGCAGTAGCGATGAAGATTCTTGATGTAATTTTTTGATGGTTCCAAATAAATTATAATGCATCTTATACCTATTGACAAAATTTTCCTAATCAGTGAAATTTATATTATACTACAATTACCTAAGTATTTTATAAATAAATCGTTAAGTACTTAATATCAAGATAAAAAGCTCAACGAGATTAAAACTGATTGGACGATTTATTGACAAAAATAAATCTTAGTTACTAGGAGAACTTTATGTGCGTATTCAAGCAAACCAAATATACATACCGTGTATAAAGCTTCCAAAGCCCCAAGTAGAATGACCAATTTCCCATTAGTATAATTATTTTCTTCAATCACCAACAGTGGTCTCTTGCTTCCCGATTTCAGTGCTCGTTTAATTCCAGCGACCGCGCTAGTCTTGAATATTCTGAGATCATCGTAATCTGGATCAATTGGACCTAGAAAAAAATATCAATCAAACGCATACATTTTAAGGAATTTGAAATTATTTATAATGGCTTTCAAATTTATGGCGATATCTTGACGCCCAATGACTGTATAATTTCATAATAAATCAAAATTGCTCTTAAATTACGATAGCGACGTACGATGGTTACAGTTTTTTGTTCACTTTACCTGTAGGTGAGTAAACTAGCCTTTTTGCTGGTAGAGAGACTGGCAAGACTGCTATTTCAGTTTTTAGCGCCGGATCCAAATTTAAAGCATCAGATATTGCCCTTGACAGTACAGGGGAGCTAATCTTTTGTTTTGGTGTAGCTACCAAAACTAATGCATCATATGCATCAGATTCTAAATCGGCGACTCGAACTTGCGTAACTGGTGGCCTAAAAGAATTAAATAATTATTAAATTATACGATTTATTTTTATTATACTATAGATTATCTAGTTGGATACATAATAATTGAATTGGAAAATTGCCCACCCTGAAAATGCACATAATTTCATTTAACTCATATCTTGAGAATATAGAGATAGATTATTAAAATGAATATGCTCACAAGCTTATTTTATTATTAGAATTGGTTACTCACTGCAAAGCTACCGTTTTCTCATTAATTTGGTGTATTTGTGTAAGTGTAAGTGTCAGGTGAATGATTTAGGATATACTGGGCACATAGTTTTCAGAAAAAAAAAATGAAGGATTGGATTGGTATTCAACAATTTTTTTTCAAGATCGCACTTCTTATGGTTCATCATCTTTCTATTCTTATATTGTGATCCCTATATAAACCTATTCTGGAGTCGCACAATTTTGGCACACCCAGTCTCTGCCAGCATTGTCTCTTCCTCTGTTCTCTCGCTCCTTCCTGCGTTCCCTTTTTTCAGCCTCCTGTCTGCGTCGCTGTTCTTCCTCCTTGATTTCGTTTTCCCTCTTTCAGTCGACTGTAGAGAATTTGTCGTGGAAGACGTGTTTCGGGCATGCGGACAAGGTGACCTGTCTAGCGAAGTTAATGCTCAATGATAAGGGCTTCCGTGCTAGTTGTTCTGGCCTCATCTAAAAGAATAATGTTCGTTCGTCGGTCTTGCCATTTAATCCGTAGGATTCTTCTTAGGCATGGCTGGTTATATTTTTCTAGGGCTTTTATGTGTGTTCTGTCCATCTACAGAAGACATGCCATGTTTCGCAGCCATATAATATGTCTTTGTTTTCTTCACTCTCCAAAAAACAGGTTACAAACAAACAATGGTAACTGGGTGGCGGTGTTCAATAATGTTGGTCTTCTATATGTAAGTGTTGGTATTACAACTGCATTATAGACGCGAAGTTTGGTCTCAGCGCTGATATCGTGAATGTTGAAGATTCTCTCTACAAGTAGCTCGAACAGTGCGGTAGCACACTTCAAGCGATATTGGATTTCAGTGTCAATGGTTGCATTCGTTGACAGATGGCTCCCAAGGTAAGGTGTTCCATACGTTCTGCAAAGAGTGTTCATTTACAGTTATGTTTATGGCTTGGGAATTAGTACCCGGTGCGGGTTGGTGCAGAATTTGCGTCTTGTTAAAGTCGATTTCTAGGCTGGTTCTCCTGTATGCCTGATCGAATGCATTGATAATTGCCTGAAGATCTTCCTCTGTATTGTCCATCACGGCGTTATCATTCGCATATTGGAGTTCAATTATCGATGTCGTCGATACTTTCATCTTGGATGCAGTTATTGGAAAATACTCACCTTGTCCATCGTTACTTAGAACGGTTGCATTCATATTATGATGCAGCAAGTGGAGTATCTGGGTGTAGTTTTGCGGACCCCCAACCAATATCTTCCAAAGACCTCCTCTGTTGACCGAAACAAATGCTCTCACTAAATCTATGGAAGCCATGTATAGGGGGCGATTGTGTTCCCTGGATTTCTGTTGCGTTTGTCTTGCACTACTATATACCATACCTACAATACAGTAGAGACAGGAAAGGCAAAACAAAGTATTTTGTTCCAACATTGATGGACATTATAAACACCACAATGCTCCGCGTAGTGAAATAGATCCATCGTATTGTTGCAACACATTTGGTTGTGATCACACTGAACGTCCTCAAATGTTGTACTTACCGCCAATAACTGAATGTCCGATTCCAACTTCCTATGCAAGACAAGGAAAGGCAACTACACGGCTACCGCTTGCCGATCTTGTTTAGTGCAATTTTGACATTTGTGGTGGTTAAGACAACGCGTATGAATTTCATCGATCTTGAAACAAGCTGGTTGCACCGTTCTCCCGCGACAACAAACCATTGGCTGCACTCATTGATGAGTAATTCTTTGCGCTTGTTGTCCTGTCTTTACAGTATTGTAGGTATATAGTCTAAGGTATTTTCCACATTGAGCCTTGACTCTTTTTTTAAAAATGGTAATTATGGAGGCATCTCTAAGTTTGGCAGAAATGGTTTTAGTAATCCACATTTTACTTATTAGGGTGTGGGTTTGGGCACTTACCGTAAGGCCTCCCTGTTTAAAGAATTCATCAGTCAGTACCAGCTGACTTATTGCTCTTTAGTTGTCTGATCGCCTTTTTACCCTCTTCTAATCTGGTAACCTCGCTCAGTTCTTGTTGTATTGGTTTCTGTGGAATTTCGTTCAAGATGTCATTATACATTTGTGATTCTCTATTAAGTAGTTCCTGGAAGTGTTCTTTCCAACGAGAATTAATGGAAGAACTGTTTTTAAGGAGTCTTGCACGATCTTTGGATCGCAAGGGATTGAGTCCTTCAGTAGTTGCTCCGTTTACCATCTTAGTAGCACGAAAGATCAAAGGCCTTGGTGCCATTAGTGCTTTAATGCACGCATTTGCCTTCGAATTTCTACTTTCGCTTGTTGGTATTGTCTTTTTTTTACAGTAGAGTTGGGGTCGCTGGTCGCTTTTCTATGCTTACACGCGCTTTTCTTTTTCTTTTTACAAGGTCTTGAATTTAAGTGTCGTTTTCATCAAACCATTCTTGATGTTTCTTTTGTATGTAGTCGAGCGTGTCTTCCGAGGCAGATGTTATTGCGGTCTTGAATATTTTCCGGGTACTCTAACGGAAGTTTCTGGCTTAGAGAGGCTTGGAACTTTGTCCGGATATGATCGACTTAATGGCGTCTTGAAGCCGCACAAGTTCCTTTCCTTCTGGCTCGTGGCATCAGCCGATGGTCAGTCCAGCAGTCATCCGGATTTGTCTAGCTCTCGTATGATTAATAACAGTATCAAAGACTTATCATGGAAATATCTCGAGGAAAATACTATGCATTACACTGTGCTCCCTAAATTTGTTTTGGTCTCAGTATTTTCACGGGGTTCAATAAATGATATTGTCGGAAAATTGCATTGTGTTAATTGACAATTAGAGTGCTAGAAAATTGACTTCCAATTGGTCCTCGATGAGAGGTCCAAGCAGAATGACATCCGAAATAATTTTATTAGGCCTGCTTTCAACAATAAAATCATTAAAATTAATTTGTTTTTATTGACTATCTACACTATTGCAGAACAGAGATCGAACATAAAATTCCAGGATTAATCCAGGGAAATTAGACTTCCTCTGCAGAATGAGGCCGAACATGCTGAATTTTTGCAGAGACCTTTCGTTTTGATGTTCTAATGAAGCACAAAAAAATCTCATATGCCTACCCTTGTGCGTCTTCAGATATCGAAGGAAAAGTTCAAGAAACTAGTTTTTTTTCGCGAAAATCTCGCTTCCAGTATATCTGCCGTCAAAGAACTCCAAACTAAGTTTTGTTTGCGCGCTCCTGCTTTATCACGCTGCAATTCGAAAACGGTTGGTCGTACGAAAAAAATGTATATGAACAATTTTGTAGAGAATACTATTTTACATCAATTTTGTTTTGAGTTAAGGGAGCGACCCGCGGTAGTGACCACTATCTACCTGTTGAAAACAAAAATATTTATCTCTGGAAGGAACATCTCAGAAGGCACGGAAAGGAAAAACAAGAAGAGAAGATTGAGCCTAAGAAACACAACCTAAAATCTTTAGAAGAACTGTAACGCCTGTGTATGTTGGGCGTCACTGGAGCGCAACAGCTGATGCCTGATGGAAAGGTGGGTGTGGTCACACAGACTGAAGGGTAGTGATGCAATAATAAATAATAACATAATAAAGTTAATATAAAACCATTTACAAGTGTTTATCATAAAATATCCTAAGTTGTACGTTGTGTTAAACATGTAACATGGTGTCAGGTTATGAAAGTCATATAAGAAAGAACTGAGTCAAGAGTCAAAGAAACTGTGAAGAACATTTTAGTTAGCAAAATAAGTCAATGGTGTTGCAAAAAAATTTGAGAAATTCATAACCAGTTAAAATATATGCTTATATGAAGGCGTCTGGGTTTAACGCAAAAGATGAGGAAACCAAAGTCGCCATTGTTTTTAATGTGGCGGGAGACGAGGCGTTAACAGAAGCGCAAAGAAAAGTGTATAACACTGTGGTTGAGGGATTTGATGTTTACTGTAAACCTCTCCGAAATAAAACCCATGATGGGTTCAAATTTTTTTTTATAATCGAGAACGAAGATGAAGAATTTTATCATTTTTTAACAGACGTTGAGATACTGGCACAAAATTGCAACTTTAGCACACTGGAAGACAGTTTAGTAGGAGATAGAATTGTCAGTGGCGTTCGAGATATGTATCTACAAGAAACGCTGCTACGTCCTGGGAATTTAACACTCAAAAAGGCAGAAAGTGAATGTCGAGCAGCAGAGCTAGCTAAATTACAAATAAAAGGCATTAGAGAGAATGATCAAGTAGATCCATTTAAATTCAGAAAACAGAACGCTGCTGCTAGTCAAAGCAGTACCTAGTTGTTATGACTGTTTTAAATGTGATAGGAAGCATATGGACCAAGGCGATGTCCAGCTATTGGGAAAAAATTTGCAAGTTGTAGGTCCCTAAATCACTTTGCTGTAGGATGTATAAATAAGCAAGCAGAAAATAGAAAATCGTCAACATTTCTCACAAGGTTATAAACAAAAAAAAAGAAGACTGTTCAACAAATTATTGTTATTCATAATTCTGACTCCACATGACAGTGAAAATGCTTCCTACATTGATTCCATTGTTTTGGAAAATGTAGGTAAGTCCAAACATAATAAACATATAATATATGGTCTGTTGATGTTGTAATTAATAATGAATTAATAACATTTAAGCCCGACAAAGGGGCAAATTGTAACTGCCTTCCGTTATTTTTTGTTGAAAAGGTAAATGTAGGAAATCAATTTGTTAGAGATAGACTTTGGTACCTTATCACTAAACACTTATGGCAATAACAAAGTTCAAGCTTTGGGTTTTATTGTTTTAAACTGTCTGGTAAAAATGTAAATTATG